CGTTTAAATGCAATAAACATTGTGATTAAACGCAACGTTTTGCGTTTAAACGCAATGTTTATTGCAATGTCTTGCGTTTAAACGCAAAAATTATTGCGTTTAAAAGCAAAAAAAAATAATTCTTTCTTTGAACTGGCCTCAACGGGCTTCCGTAGTAACATTTCCCTAAAATTTAAAAATTTAAAAAGTCCCGGGCAGAAAAATTGCACAATATTTTTTTTCTCAGAATAAAGTGAACAAGAATACATTTTGAAGGAAGTTTTCATAATTAAAGTCCATCTACTTTATTAATTTTGAACTATTTCATTTTGTTATATCTACCTTTTCTGTCGCAAATAATTATTTATATTTTAGATTCAATCATGAATCATTGCACAATAGTCTATATATAAATATGGTAATAATTGTAATAATGTGAAATGTATAATGCTCTTCAAAGACCAAGGTTCACGTATGGCCATTATTGGACGGGTGATTTTGCGAAACTCAAAACTACTCAGATTTCATGACAATGCATTAAAATCACTTTGACCTTGGGTGATTGCATCTTTATTGAATATGACGGAATTTCCTCCTCTTTGGGTAATGCATAAGTACGTTATGAAATGTATCATTATTCACATATCATAAAAATTCAATCAAAAATGGCAAAAAGGTCTCGGCTTTTAAAAACATTTTGTGAAGAGCGCAATATCTTAATCAAAATGTACAATATTTCTTTAATCATAGAACTGTTTCTGAAGATTATAAAACGTGTTATTTATTAATTCTTCTTCTTCTTCTTTCATCAAGTGTGCTCATATTCTAATTTTTATGAAGGTATTCCAATACAGTCACGTTTTTATTTTTTATTTTATTTTTTTTTTATCTTCGATCGCAGGATGACGTATGTATGTATGACGTTTTCATTCACACTTGATTTTTTTTTGGGGGGGGGGGGGGGCACTAGGAAAAATATCTTACATTATCGCGTTGCTTTTCGACGATGACATATTGCATGTATTTGTGTTTGTTGAACAGCTGCATTAAATTGAGACTTACTTAATCATTAATGCAGTAGTGTAAGCGTATGATATAGATATCATAAAGAGTGATATGTGGAACATATTAAGTTTAACTGCTATGAATTATTCCTTTTTCATAACTTCATTGATGTCATCGTCGATAATGTTTTGATATTAGTAATTTGCATTCATTGATGAAATGCAAAATTGGGGGGGGGGGAGAAAAAAAAGTATGTAAAAAAAAGAAATGTTTCATTTTTTTTTTTGGGGGGGGGGGGGGGCACAATATACGATCATCATATTTTGTGGGAATAAAGGGGTAACAATTTTTAAATATAGGACAAAGACATTAACAAACCAGAGAAAACCTTTATGGCATTTGATCGGTATGTTATCAACTTAAAATTTTTGTGATGTTTTCCAAGAGAATTATTTTTAGGCCAGTTGCATTAATTCGTACATCATATAAATGCTGCCTTAAAATATCCTAAATAAAATGAAAAGGTTGTTTCTTTGCAATATACAGTTTGAATTGGCATTTTTCAAATGAAAGTACCTAATTGGAAACAATGGTTTGAACAAATGGAAATTAAATCTGTGTTTGTGCTTAAAAAAGTTTTGTTAAATTTCAGTTTTGTAAAAACACACTGTGAAAAACTTCAGTTATAAAATCAATATTCATCTACTACACTTAACCTTCGAAATTTTAAAGTAATTTGCATCATCTGAATTTTACTTAAAACGTACAAAAATACAAAATCTCAAATTGGCACAGCAATACAATGTACTAAAATTTAATGCATTTACGATTCATAAGCGACAATAATAAATGAAGTATAATTTTATGTGAGACTACACTGTAATTATTTACGAGGGGTAATCAGAAAGTTCGAGAACTAATTGAATTACTTCTTTAAAAGAAATAAAATGAAGTTTCAGTGTTTATTATTTTTTAAAGTAGTCCTCTCCGATTTTAATGCACATTAGCCATTGTTCTGCCCATGCGCGAATCATGTGATCCAGGCAGTCACGTGACATGCTCCGAAGCAGTCAGTTCAGAGAAGCTAAAAGATTTTTAAGAGTCTTATATTTCTTACCATGCAAGTTATTTTTTGTAACAAAAACAGTCCATCTGTCAGTTCTAAATGGTCATATCTCGGCAATAGGATGGGTGGATAAGGATATCCCTTCCCACAATTAGTATGGTGACCCATCACAACCCGAGTCCTCTGTCTCGGGAGAGTCATTTATCCGATGTGGATAAAGTATGGGCGCCTTCTTTTTATCATATCTCATATGTTTAAAGTTTAAAGTAAACGATATTTTAGAGATTTAATAATTATATTATTGTAAAGATACACAACCATTTTTCTAATTGTTACTTGACGATGTTTCATAACAAATTGCTCAACTAAGGACACATCTCCTCCCCGGCTTGCTTTCGCTGGGCAACAGAACAAACATCATTTTTAACCGTCTCCCTGTTTTTACTTAAACAATTAATCCAATTAATGATTGAACTTCTGGTAAGTCTTTTGTCTTCATAAACCTTGTACAAATTATCATAATCTACTGCAAAGGAATTTCCAAGATATACGTTAAACTTTACAGCCGTTTGTAGCTCGAGTACGTCTGAGTCAACCATTTTTTGTCACAAGTGACCTACATATTGACGTCATTTTCATATTGTGACGTCACAAACACAGAGCAAAACATTATTTAACATATGTTATTTATAGAACATATGTATGACTATATGTGTGCCAAATTTCATTCTGATCTGAATTGTGGTTTTATAAATATAGAGATAGTTCGCGAACTTTTTGATCACCCCTCGCATTCAATAAACATATTAAGATTTATATCCTGACATAATAAAGATAGTTTAGCAAAGGTTATAAATATCTCGACTTTGAGTTTTATCCTCTTGATTTTTGCTTAAAATGCTCATAGAAATCTCAATTTCATTTTAAATATTAATTAAGTTATTTGCAAATCATGCAAATCATGGGAAAGGTGTAAACATGAGAATTAAAATTGGAGAATTGACAGTGAATATTTTATATTTTAATCAGTAATATTTAATCAACAATCAATAAATTTGCAGAACATGGATTGTAAAATTGTCAAATGGGTGTTAAAACCGAGTCGCAGTTTTGTATCAATCAAAAATCTGCTTTAATCAATTATGATTGTTCTTAATTGAACATGTTTTGGACGATATTTCTTTTATTTGAATGCCTTTTGGCAGCCGAAAAATGTACCATACCAAACAATGAAAAAGAGATTGGAAAAAGGTTACCAGTTTCTCCTTTCGCAGTGCTTAACGAAATAGGGCTCCAAATGTGTTTTAGAGAATGTGAAGCCTATGCCATGTGTTTGTCAATTAATTTCAGCCCAAAGAAGTTAATGTGTGAGTTGAACAGTCAGAAGAAAAATGCCAGCTTATATTTAGTTAATGATTTTGACTCGATCTACAAAGAAATACTGGATATTGTAAGTATTGTAGGTATATATTCACAATTACATGCACTTAAGCTATGTACCTTTGGTTCGGCTCTATTGGTTGTCAAAGTGAATTATTCTAAACAGGACAACTTTTCTACAACTTCATTTTCATTAAGAGACCTACAAAAAATAATATATATGTAAAATTCCAAAATGACAATTTTAGCCTTAGAGTTTCCTTTCCCGGAAAGATGGAAATGGACGATATGTTATCAAAAAATCTTGTATTTCCTTGTCTTTGTCTTTCTTTAAGCTGCAGTTGATAGATGACCTACCTGAAAGGGGTTAAAAATTTAAACAATTGCTTTATTAAGCTTTAAAAAGTTTAGTCTCTCTGATCTAATGAAATACAATGTATATTGAGATAACGAACAAAAAGAATTCTAATATAATTTCGGTCGCCCGTCTGAAGAACTAATTATACCCCACCCCCTTTGTGATTTTGTCGACGCATTATGGAGGGAAAACAAGAAAGGATTTGATAATTTTGGGAGGAATGATTTCTGTTTTAAAATGCATTTTTCAGAGGATATTTCGTGAAACAAAAAAACGATAGATTCATTAATATTTCCGGGACAATAGATAATGACAATGAGATGAGCATATTGTTCTGTTTTGGAATATTCTTCATTTATTAGAAGAGAATGTGAAATTTACAGTATTTATATCATTTTTTACATTTTTGTAAAGATATTATCAAGCATATCAAGAACGAAATGATGCATTTTGTTTCATACGAAAATGCTGTCTGAGAAAACACCAAAGTTTTGGAATTATAATTGATATCTTATACGAACAATTGACGAATTGTCTGAAAGTTGTCATAGATTAGAGTATTATGATGTAAAAGTAACTATTTTAATTGTTTTGGACACACAGCTCTACACGTGAAGTACACAAAAACATTTCTATCTATATCTAGCCAATTTTAAAAGGATGTTTCGCATTCATAATTGTATCCTCTATTGGAAGACTTTCTCGATACTTGTACATAAAACATTATCCCAATCTTTTAGTTTGTTAAATATTTTAGTAGGAACTGTATTCATGCAACATCAAGGATGTGGAAATTTTTGAATCATCACAAACTTGTTCAATATTTATACATAATCTTATGTTATTAAACCTGTATCCCTTGAATATGAAGATTTTATCAGTAGTGTATATTCAAGGTTTTCTAGCACTAAATGTTATTTATTTTTTGAATCCGTGAAGATTAAAATACATTTTTTCCCCATTTATTTAAGATTTACTTCTACAATCCAAAATCGTCAATCATAATTATTGCATTTATATGTTGTTATGTAAAATTAACTTGTTTAATCGATTTGACCTCATGGGTCACTACCAGCAGGGAGCAAAAATATGTCAATCTATAACCAGGGAACTTTGAAAATGGATGATAATATCAATATATTTTATCATAATTATTTCATGTGTGATATGACTTTTTTTAATCTTGTTGAACAGTGATTTGAATACATTGCCGTTTCAGGTTGATTACAGAGATAAGAAATGTGGAAAAATTTCATGCAATCACTTATCCAAATGTGTTCGCACAAAATTAGGCAAATATGTCTGCATCGAAGTAGCAGGTATGTATATAGGAAAGAAAATACATCTGTATTAAAGATATAGAATTATTCCGTTTGCCTGGCCTTTATTTGCATATATTCATTTATAAAGGGGACAATAATATACTGAAAAGGAAAAAAACGCAACATCCTAATTTAGGAGGTGGGACTTTTATACATAGTTAATAACTTTGTCGTGGAGACCTGTCCTTCGGATAATACCGTATAAACCGAGGTCCCATGTCGCAGTAGGTGATGGCACGAAAAAGATCCCTCACTGCTCAATGGCCGAGTATAGGACAAAATTTGCAGAGGGACGTTAAACAACATACAAACAAACAAACAAAATAACTTTGTACTTAAAAGTACGGACATCTTCAACTTTACGAAATCGTTAATTTTACGGTTGAATGATATTCATACCATTACCGGAAGTTGAGTTTGAGCTCGTTTAACATGAATCAAAAATTGCATGTTTTACAAAACATTTGGCAATAAGTCTGGTTTTCAAGGGTTTGTATCTGCTCATCATAAATATTGCAGCAATATTCCGAAAAAAACTACTTTTCTTTTCCTGGAGTGATGCCAAGACTTCCTCAAAATGACTTAATTACGCATTTCCATTTCTCCACTGGAAATTCTCAAAATAAAGGTGAAGGAGAGTTGCAGATGCAAATATGCACTACATCACGCCTCATTAGGATTATACGTATCATTGGCATGAATGACAGTCCTTGGACCGGAAGTCGAAGGGTTACTTAACTGCGCTAGGTTCGAGAAAATAAGACCTCAGCATCTGAAAACAAGCACTTAAAAAATGCAAAGAATAACTCTTTCGCTCAGATCAAGAGATTAATTAACCTAATCCATCGTATATATCGAGCTGCAATTGTTGTGCCTCGCAGACTTACACGCTGTAATTGAATGACAAGGGGGGGGGGGGGTTAACAGTTATTTATTACTTTATAAAGTTTTTATCAAATTCGTAATGTTTTTACAACGAGTTTAATATTACTGTATTATAATTTTTGAAAATCATTAGATAAAAAATTGAGATATCTGTAATTTACTGCCTGTTGCGTTTCTTTTGCGTGTCAGTATAGTAAGGATCTATTTGATGTATTTCAACTGTATCAAGTGTAAGTTTCAATTCTTATTTTTTATGCAAAATATATACATTCGCGTTTTATTTATTTATCTTTTTTTTAATTTTTATGTTAAAATGTGTACAACAATTTCTTTTTGTTTTTCTAGTTCATGGAGGATGGAGTGAATGGAACCCTTGGGGAGTTTGTTCTGTTACATGCGGAGGTGGGACTAGAGCACGAACACGCACCTGTGATAATCCTACGCCGAGATTTGGAGGTCAACTCTGCAATGGACAATCCACAGATTCTACATACTGTAACACGCATAATTGTCCGGGTACTTTCTGATATACATGTATATAAATGTCAAAATAATTGATACATGCCTACATTTGACACCAGACGCAAATATTTAGATGAAATATAGGGAAAAGAAATAATATTTAATTCGAAAAATATCTGTAGAAAAAAAAAATCTTGTATATTTGAAAATAAATGTTTTCATACAATCCATATACATCTTCAAAATTTACATTCTATACATTAAGTAAACACTTCAATAATATTATGTGAGCTCACAAATACAATCTCAGCTTTGTTTTTACTACAATTCATTAAAATCCTATGTTTTGAAACGATTTGTCCATATAGTGCATGGAGGATGGAGTACATGGGACGCTTGGGGAGGTTGTTCTGTTACATGCGGGGGTGGAAGTAGATCACGCATACGCAGATGCGACAATCCTACTCCAAGAAATGGAGGTCAAGCTTGCAGCGGGCCATCCTCAGAAGCTTCATCATGTAACACGCATAACTGTCCTGGTACGTATGATGATTATATAACGGGAAGGTTTTCTTCTTCAATACTTTTTTCTTATGTATTTTTTCTGAAAGAAAACAATATTCTGTACAGACCTGATTTGAATGAAGTTATCAAATAGCTGAAATAAAATATCATCAAGCTATTAATATATATCTCAAGAGTTATCAGTTTTCAATGGGAATGTACAGTTTTATATAAACATGTAAGGAAACAGTTGTTAAGACATTTTTTAATATCTAGTCCAAAGAACTGTTTTTAATTTACAGTTAATGGAGAATGGAGTGTGTGGAACTACTGGGGTGGTTGTTCTGTTGCATGTGGGAGTGGGACTAGACAACGATCACGCAACTGTGACAATCCGATGCCGAGATATGGAGGTTTGGCATGCAGTGGACAATCGTATGAATATTCATACTGCAATACGCACAACTGTCCTGGTATGTTTTATTTCTTATAACGACAAATCTGAAAGTGTACCTAAATTCTGAAAGGAAATTGTAAGATTTTAATATGTGTGAAGCCAGAGGAATTCAATAAAATTATTCAAATGAAAAGTCATAGCATATTTGAAAAATACAAGTCCTTCCAGAGAAGGGGGAAAAAATGAAGCAAAGGTGTCTAACAAAAAAAAAAAAAAAACAAAAACAAAACAAAAAAAAAAAAAAAAAAAAAAAAAAAAAAAAAAAAAAAAAAATTAACCATAACACAGTGATCGGGAATAAATATTTATAATAGAAATACATCTGTATATTGAACTTGATCAAATCAAAATGTTTTTAAAGCATAATTTTGATACGTCTAACATAACTGTTAGTTTTTTCTTAATAAAACATAATAGTTGAAAATATTTTAAAACTTTGAATAGTACGTATAGAACAGTTTTGGAATGAAATATATGTAAGTGGAGAAAACGAACAGAGGTTGAACTCAGAAAACTACTAAAAATTCAAATCCATGAAAAGGGCATTAAACACGGATTCCTGGAATATCCAGAGTGGGGTCAGGTGCCTAGGAAGAGTAAGCATCCCCTTATGACTAGTCATACCTGCTGTCACTACCATGTATTCATCAGGTAGACGGAAAATCTAGTTTAGTATGAAAACAAAGGCCTTAGAATTCGTGTAAAAATTGGTAAACAAAATACGACCCAACAATAGGTTTGCTAACAATGTAATTTACGAAATGGTATAGTTAAACGAGGCTGTTGAAATCCCTGTATCATCAACTAATTTTTCAGTAATCTGCCTTGGATTAAAAAATTAAGCGTATTCAGAGCATTTTCTTCAATATGTTTTAAATTTTGAAGGCTTGATAATATATATATATATATATATATATATATATATATATATATATATATATATATATATATATATATATATATATATATATATATATATATATATATATATATTACAAGGTTATGTTTACAAGTATACACACAATGATTAGAAACACAATTAATGCAGATCATTAAAGAGCTAGAAAAATTGTTTCAACTTAGTTGATGGAGGTTGGAGTTGGTGGAACGGTTGGGGAAGTTGTTCTGCGACATACGGGGTAGGACAAAGATCAAGGTCACGCACATGTGACAATCCCTCACCGAGGTATGGAGGTCAAGCCTGCTCGGGACAATCCCATGATTCCTCAACATGCTGCTTGCAGAACTGTCCCGGTACGTTTTATTATTTACAAACTAAAGAAACTATTAACGTATTCAGATCACGTGCCTCTTTGAAACTCACTGCAAAAAAATTTGATTTGTGTGAAAGCCTCAGATTTGCATTACTGTCGTTCTGATTTTTTCCGATTGAACTAATATGACTTAACAAGATATTGGTATATATCTCAAAAGTCTCCAGTGAAGAATATACACAAGTTAGTGCATAGATAAGCTTTACTCATCAGCAACTCAACAGTACAATTCTTTGGATATCTTTTTCATATATTCTAACAGCATGATGGTAGACAAAATTGGACTGATATTTCTTTAGGAATTTGATTTGATGACATGCCCTTAAATTTTGCGTCCATGTAATGTCATAATTTTTCTTAAATTGTAAAAGATACAAATTAAGGTCAGGTATAAATGATTCATAGTCTTTGCACTATATATTTTTTTTTGTTAATTACACAATATTAATTTGATACTCTTTTTTACTAGAGGTAAGTGACTGTTCAATATATTCAGATGTCCGTGTGTTGAGAAGGTGCAAAAAGTGACAAATGACACACTCACTGTGTTTTTAAAACTGGTAGCTAAGTCATTGATCATTTGGTACATGAAAGTACGTTGAAAAGACTAACTCTACCTTTCTTAAATAAATCTTATCTTCACACTGTGGTGTATTTGACACACGTACATGAAATGTGATAATCGAAAACTAATTAACTGTAATTAAGAACTTTAAATATAACATGGATTAATTATCCTTTTGAATAGAATCAGGAAATCCAAGAAGGCAAATTTTTAAATATTCACCAAACAATTCCACTTATTAAACTGTGTTTATGTACACATATTCTTCACATTCATTATACCATAATCTTAACTTTTGTTAAAGGACTATGAAACTTAAAAAAAAAAAAAAAAAACATTGGTTTTTGAACGTTCTTTCAAATCAATCATTTTTATTCGTATTACTTTTGTGAAAATTCAGAGCTTATTTCCATTATATATATATATATATATATATATATATATATATATATATATATATATATATATATATATATATATATATATATATATATATATATATATATATATATATATATAAAATTAAAGTAATGCAGAAATTACAATCTACTGTGCATACGGAAATGAAAGTTTGAAAACCAATCAGCGTAAAAAATAAACATCATAGAAATTATTGTTTCTTTGTTCAATAAGATTATTCACCTTGAGATATCAAAAGAAAAGCTTTATGCTAGAAAACAATTTATGGAAGAAGCATTCAAAGCCGTTGTTTAAATGTTACTTTCTACCGTATAATTCTATGAAGTTTTAAATTTTCATTTTGAACCTACATTACAGTAAACGCGGTTTCCGTTTTTACTGAGAATCCTCGTAGTGTGAAATTGATCGTGGTTTAACACAGGTAATTCAGGTGAAACTGCGTGTTCTCGCGGTACGTGTCCTCACCTGATCCATATCATAGCAGTTTGCATTATCAGTTTCAGATAAAAAAAAAATCTTGTCACAAATGCGAATTATATTTGTAAAACTGATAATTTGTAATTTTAAAATTAACCTTAAAAGATGGCTTAAACAGCATTTTCCCCGTTTAATACAATGTGGAAGTCCAATCAAAAAGGCTTCAGTTGCAGTTAAATAAAATTTGGTTTTCTTTGGATAAGTTTTGGTATGAGAAATAATTTTACTAGTTTCCGGACATGCGTTTTCTTTAAATAAACTGAACTAATAAAATTAAGATGACTTGTTCTTGACAACTTCATACTTATTCATGGAAGAAATATACAAGGATTATCAGAAAATTATAACTGTTTTTGGTACGTCCATGAATTAAAACACATTTATTAAGCATTCTCCAATATTTTATTATTGGGAGATATAACCATCATATACAACTGATAGTGGATTATTACTACGCGGGTATGTTAAGGAAGCATACAAATCATTTCTCGGTAAATTAAGACTTTTTCAAAGATGAAGTTTGATAATTTATCAAAGTCGCCGATAAATCTAAAACTAATATCAACTATTGTGTAAAGACAACAGAATGTGTGAGGCAGAGAAGTGCAACACCACGACGTCATCACGTGACTGCTATCAATAGCAAAATATTTCTTAATAAAAAAGGTTAACAAGACAACACTTCCCCGGGGTTTGATAATTTCTTTGACTAAATAATATAGTTGAAAAACATCTCTTATGCCAACAAAGTGCTGCTAGAATCTAACTGTCCGGTCTGAAGAATAATTATTCCACATATTCGCACGAAACCTTACCCGCTGTTTTGCATTATGTACAAATAACCCGAAATATTTCTTCAAACCATGTTTACTTCATGATTCTAGCAGCACTTTCCAAGTATTATAGAACGCAAGCTTTCGATATGTACAAATCTTATGCTTTGAAGCATCCAGCTTAGTGTTCTTCTGTTGCATTATTGTTGTCATGAATGACAGAGGAAAGGCCGACCGAGATACGTAAAACGCTGACTGTCTTCAATAGAAGATATAATCGATGAACATAAATTAGCATAATTGTTTAACAAAGTTTAACCTCACATAAATCACAAATAATATTTACGGTCTCTGCATCTAAACCCCCTTTTACGTATCTTTTTACATGTCGTCTTAGCCAGATTCTCATTACACAACATGATCAATTCTCATGTTAATTCAAGTGACAGATACAGCATTACAAAATAAAAACATTTTATTTTTGTTAACATTTGCAAGATTCTATTCATTTTCAGGAGTTAAATCATGTCTCTAAATAACAATTGTAAGAAAATTTGTGTTTCCTCACTGCTCAATGGTCCTGAATGCCGAGAATAGGTCAAAATTTGCAGTCTTCCACCTGCAAGTGGTGACGTCTCCATATGAGTGAAACATTTTCGAGAGGGGCGTAAAACATCAAAACAAAAAAATCTTATTAATTGCATTTGATTACTTAAGGCATAAGGATTGTCAGTGGTACGTCTTACAACAATGGAAGAGTAGAAATAGAATATGGTGGAACCTGGGGAACAGTGTGTGATGATAGCTGGGATGATAACGATGCAGCTGTTGTTTGTCGCATGTTAGGATTCTCTGGGTAATGTGGGAAAAATAATTTTTACAAAGTTAACTTACCTTTCATAAAAAGAAAATTGTTCGTCTTTTTTAAGAGTGGATTTTTTTTCATGTTTTTGTCTAATTTGAATTTTCAAAGGAAAATTTGCATGAATATTTTGTTTCTTTTTTTTTTTTTTTTTTTTTTTTTTTGGTATTGAGATATTAAAAATCAAGAAATCATTTTTTTTTTCTTGTACAATTTGACATACATGTGGTATTATCTCTCTCATGCATAGCTCTGATCCTTCGACGTATTTGACTCCAGTCTTTGGCACTTTTTTCAGCTTTTCCAATTCTATTTTTTTAAATTTTGGATTCCCATCCTTTCGGCTTGAGCATCACTGAAGAGACAAAATTTGTCGAAATGCGCATCTGGTGCATCAAAATTGGTACCGTATATGATTTACATACAGTATGATTTGCATGCAATTGTATTTGCCATGTTTACCCCTTCACTCAGAATTGAAAATCGAATATTAAAGGTCAAGTTCGGAAATTTTTGTAGAAATAGAGAAATATATTATTCAATAATTACTGTTTTTGAGATCAATACGATGATTTAGCCATCTAAGGAGTACAATATTTACCGAACCTGAAGGGCGAGATGAATATTTCACGTCGAAAATGGATAATTCATCGTATTGGCTGATTTAAATCCATGCGATCTTACTTGTTTACATGAACTGAAGTCATACCCAAGCGGGGTTAAAATTAATATAACTAGTTCTATTAATTTGGAATTTTTAAATTCTTTTTTTTTTTCGATTCGACGTGAAAAAAATAAAAGTCAGGCACATAGGATTCATTTTGAAAAGGAGAGGGGTTTTACATGTATATGAAGAAAAGGGATAACTTTCCTGGAAAAAGAGACTTGAAAGAGAGGAGAATTCAAATTTTATCGGCATCGTTGATCATTGTTCCAATGTTGCAAGTGCCCGAGTATGTACTTCTAGTCACCCGCGTGGCGCAGTGGTTAGAGCGTCTGCTCTAGAGTCGCGAAGTAGGGAGTTGATCCTTACGTCGCACGTTCGAATCCCACTGCGGAACGTAGAGACCAGTCCTTCGGATGAGACCGTATAAACCGAGGTCCTGTGTCGCAGTAGGTGCTGGCACGAAAAAGATCACTCACTGCTGAATGGCCCTAAGTGCCGAGTATAGGTCAAAATTTGTAGCCCTCCACCGGCAAGTGGTGGCGTCTCCATATGAGTGAAAAAATCTCGAGAGAGACGTTTAACAACAATCAATTAATCAATCGAATTTTATTTTTTTTTTAATTTGGGAAGGGAGAGGGAGGGGACTGCAAGCGTCCATTATGGAGGAAGGAAAGAAGCCTTTCATTGATTTTTTCATATTAAATTAGATGTAAAAATTTAGGTTGAGAGTGTTGAGAGGGTCAGGCCCCCTGCCTCGCCCATTCCTCTTTTCTATGTGCCTGAATGTTATGTTCGCCTGTTTGGAAATCAGACGCAAGATTAGATAATATTCAGGAACTATCCATATCAATCTGGAATTTCCTGATCGATTTTTAATCCAATTTAGAAAAAAATAAACCCTTATTTTTACCTAGAAGGTAACATGCAGGTGATCATGGGGATTTATTTTTTTTCTGCAATGTTTTATTTCACCCAATCAGACAGCAAGGATTCAATCATATAATAAAATTTATTGTCTACTGGTCACATATGATTTAAATTCACAAAATCCGTTTTACTGAAAACCGTTTGGCGTGACTTATGTTGCACTTTTAAAATTTTCATGGAGTCAACATTAAACTACTACTATTTGTTTGCCATCTCCCGACTCGGGATCAAAATACTTGGTCGGTAGTATAGGTAAGAATGTTTTTCTAGAAAATTTCAACAACAATGCTGAATTGTTAAATTTATTTTCTGAAATGCTTCCTGGTTGTTGAAAAAAAGTTTTGAGTCGGACCATTTTTAGCCGGTCCTTCGGGAGAGAGCAACCGATTTTTTTTTTTTCGAAGATGGTCTGGGCGATCGATAATTTATTAGTAACGTGAGTTATCGCCCATGACGTATTACGCCCTTCAGGACAACTTCACTACAGCGACTATACACTCAATTTACCCTATACAAATTACATTGTAGTGTTGTGTGTTTTTAGAATGTAGAGGAATGCGAAGATTAATATTCGCGTTCGAATACATTATTATATAAATATTTATTTATTATCATAATTACTTTTGCTTTGAATTTAATAAAGTGTGCACCATTTAATAATTCGGGACTAATTATTATCTGCTAGTTTTAAATTAATATTTTTCGACGAAACTGACTTTCATAACTCTTCGTACGTGAGAATTTCGTCAACAGCTTAGCGAGCAGATGAAATTCATCATGAAATAAATGCTTTGACGAATGCCATTTTAATAGATTTTAGAACTTGATTGTCACTTTTTATTAATACGCAAAAATATAACGAAAGCAACGATGTTAACGCCTACTTAATCTATTGGAGCTATGTGAATTAAACCCCAATCATTTTTTTAGGGAACAATTGGTACAATTATACAATACAATATATATGAACGACAAAAGGAACTTATCCATATTTTTTTATCTTCATTCTTCACAGTGTAAATCTATAGGTTGATCAGAAATATTAAACGTTTAAAGCAAATTCCGAAGAAAATATTTTTTTTCTTTTTTAAATTAGAAAAGCCACTGCACACACAAGTGCCTTTTTTGGACAAGGAAGTGGTCATATCTGGTTAGACAATGTCCAGTGTAGTGGAACAGAGTCCCACATTTTTAATTGTCAACATCGAGGTGTTGGAAGCCATGACTGTTCCCATACTGAAGATGCCGGGGTGACCTGCACCTAATCAATACATTAATTTATAACGAATGAAAATGCATTATTAAATTTTGTCTTTGATGTAGTCAAAGATTGATTTATGTAATTCTTGGATGAACTAATACCAGAATAATGCCTTTCGAGCTTTGAAAACAACTTAATTCAGGATAAAATCATTTTCTATTCTACAAGGAATTGAAAATTTCATGACTGGCGCCATAAAATTCAAACGGCTTAATATTACATCAATGAATTTTAAAATAATTAGTCAACATCAATTTTTCTGTCTACAGAATAAACTACAAGACACATGGTTTATCTTTGAATTAATTTACTTTGCTTCGAAAAGCATTGGTATGTCCACACCCTCAAAATACCACATATTTATACCCCAAGTCTAATGGAGTCAAAAAGTTTAATTTTTCTCGTCCAATTTTCACATTCATCCCGTTGTTTAATGTAACAAAATTGTTCCGTAAAATCTGCAATTTTTACCTTATTGTAGCCATTTCTATGAGATCGATCGTAAATTTACTAGAGAGAGCGCTAAAAATTACTGTTTAAAAATGACACAGGAAGGGAGGGGCGAGGGATATTGTCTTTTTACGCATTTTATCCTTAGAAAAAACTCGCTTAGCCTTTGGAAATGTTTGAATTGTACGGATAAAGAAAAAATCATTTTATATTTTCTTTTCTTTTTTTTTTTAAATGGTAAAAAGCTTTCAAAAAAAGGAGAGACATACAGATATTGCCAATCATAGGCTTTTTAAACCCCCGCGTTTTACTGAAGGAAATGCAGCTAAAACAATCCGTTTTTTCCTTAAACTTCAATATGCCAACAAAGGAATTGACGCGGTTAATATAAGTAATATCCTTAATCACAAAAAGGTCCAGTCTTGTATTCCACCATATTTCAAGTTAAAGACTACACCTTGTATTTCCTACAAATATACATCGACTATTGCTTCCAAACTTTTTAATTACAAGAAAACTTTACAGGGCCTGGATATCGAATATCTGAAACATAATCCTCCATCGTGTTCATGTTCTTCTTCGCCCTATAACTATAGTCCTGCTGGACACGTTATTACTGGTGACGTAAATATAGTTAATAATGAGGACCTTAGATCACTAATTTTAAAAGGTCCTAAATTTAGGGAACCCAGATCCTTCAACTGGCGTCGGAATTTCATAAATATTATGGATTCTGTAGAGGACTACACCAGGCGCTGGGCCAGACATGAAAAAGAAGACCTTGACACTTTGTCAGAATGGATTAAATGTATCAGATGTATGTTAAAATCGCGCATTAAAAGATTGAGAGGCAATATGAAAACCATCTATCCTTCTGTATTCAATAATCCAGAAGTGAAAAAAGAATTAGATAGATTACATGATCAGTACGTACTGGTCCCTGCTGACAAAGCAGGTAACAACATTGTCTTTGTTTGTAAGGCTCATTATATTAAATGTATTTTAGAGGAACTTGGATTTAATTCTACAAGTGGTAATCCAACTTACACTCATAGTTCCCCTTCTAAGGAAGAAATTCTTCAAAATCATATGTCAGTTTTGAATATTTTTAATATTCCAAACAACCAAAATGAATTCGAATTACCATATTTATATTGGATTCCGAAACTTCATAAAAATCCTTACAAACAAAGATACATAGCGGGTTCCAGTAAATGTTCAACCAAGCCTCTATCTTTACTCCTCACTAAGATATTAACAGTAGTGAAGGAGAAACTTCAAGAGTACTGTACAACAATATATTCGAGAAGTGGTGTAAATCAGATGTGGTTACTTGAAAATTCCAAGGAACTTTTGGAAAATTTGAAATCACAAGATTTTACCAAAATCAACAGCGTAAAAACTTACGACTTTTCAACTTTATACACAACCATTCCCCACGATAAATTAAAGTCCAGGCTTTTTGATATCATTGACAGCTGCTTTTTCAATAAAAATGGAACTCCTAAATATACTTACCTTGTCATTGGTCATTTGCAAAATTATTTTGTTTAAAAAACATTCTGATTGTACACACAAGTACTCTGAAGTTGACATTAAAAAGATGATTGAGTTTCTGATTGACAATATCTATGTGGTTTTTGGAGACCAGGTCTTCCAACAATCTATTGGAATACCTATGGGTACCAATTGC